AAAGAGTGGCATCTCATTTAAATTTTTCAAATTAAAGTGCTTGAAAGATCTTCTTGATTTACACCCAGCTTCCAACTCACACTGTGAACAGGGCACAGATGAATGCATAGCCATTGTCATGCTTGTTTTTCTTGTGAAAATATGCTTCAAACCTAGTGATTCTGTGCCGTTCTGAGAAACAGGATTGTGCATTCTAGACTCACATCTTTGGGTGGGTTTTGATAGTGCTTTGCTCTTCAGTGCCTGGCTGCTCAGAATATCACATCAAAGCTCCCAGCTGCTGCTGTCAGGCTAAATCTTGAGTACTAGTACATCTTAGTAATATTAATTTTAGTAGTCGTACATGTAGGGAATTATGCAGGACAGTGCTTAACATAGGGACTCAGCAAAGGTGTAGATTGTACAGGTAGGCATTTCTAACGTTTATTTTTATGCAATAAGTTCATAGTATAGTTAAAAATATAGATATTTTGAATTAGAAATGAGCTCTGAAACTACTGTTAGTTATTTACTGAGTATAGATATTTTGAATTAGAAATGAGCTGTGAAACTACTGTTAGTTGTTTTCTGATTTTGATACTCAGTGCTATGCAACTCATTGAATTACCTGTATTTCAGGTAATTCAAAATTACCTGAAATCTACCTGTACCTGTAGATTTCATTCCATCTCTGGCACAGATGAGGCACAGGCATAGTTTTAGGGTACTTAACCAAATACACAATGAGAAGTGCTGCTTGTGGATGTAGATTTCATTCCATCTCTGGCACAGGTGAGGCACAGGCATAGTTTTAGGGAACTTAACCAAATACACAACGCTGCTTGTGGGTTCAGCATAAATTAGGCAGAGCTGAACAAGGTGTTTGAAAGCCTGGGTAAGGGTAGAAATCTGGAGATCTTCCTTCCAGTGGCAGTTGTGCAGTGTCACAGTCTGGTTTGCCATTCAATGGGCAGTAGCTCAGCAGAGCTGGAGGATCAGGACAGATGGCTGATTTTAAATGCCATAAGCATATGGCAGTAAGGGAGCACAGTCATTCCACTTGTAAACCTATGGATCTCTGTATGTTATTAAAGAATGACTAACTAAAAGACTTAAACCAGAAAGAGAAATTGGAATTTGATCAGTCAGAGCAGCTCAGCTGGCCAAGACAGTGATTAGGTAACAGAAGGCTGACTCCCCACAGCCTGCCAGCTACCTGCTCTTGGATGTGCTTCCTGCAAAATGGACCACACTCCTGTGTGTGGCACCTGCTGTCTGCTGTCTCAGTGTGTCACTTGTCCTTGGCTGGTGTCTTGTTTGCAGAGGATAACAATCTTGTGTTGCTGCCAGGAAGTGTAGTTTGAGCTGAATGAGAAAGATTTATACAGAAGCAATGGAAGTCTGGAGCAAAAATATTGTTCATGAGACAAGTTGGAATGAGTTGTTGCTACTAAAAGAAATTCATCATCTTAAATTCACTTTTTATTCCTTAAGAAAATATAAGAGCTTTGTAAAAACAAAGTTACTTAGACTGCTGTCTAAAGAGCCCCAGAGTTGCAGCATGCAGGTTAAGTGTATCTATGACTCAGTTGGTACCTTGATATCCTTGAGAAGGTGATCACTCACCATTTCCCTGACATGCTCCAGGAATGAGGCTGTACTCGGTATGTTCTTTGTCTGTGAGTAGCACACATATATTATTTACAGGACACTGTGTAAGAAAATGTGTGTGCTGTATGTTGCTTATTATTTTCATTTTTTATTTTTCATTTTTAATGAAGCCAGCTTCAAAAAAAACAGCAATACTGAAATAAATGCTGGCTATTTTGGGGGGGGAAAGCTATGTGCATTTATACAAAATATTTTAGAAAGCTCTACATTTTGAGGAAATGTCATAGATTTGAATCACTATAGAGAAAAAAATAGACTAATATGGTCAGTGACACAACACAGAATATTATTTATAGTGTGTACATTGCTGTAAGCTTTAGGCTGTGGGTAGCTAGTTTGTTTTTAAAGCAGACCTGACTGCATCTCGTAAACTACTTACTCTGATCTGTCTCCTTACAGATAATCATTCAAAGCCAATGGAAATTGATGGGGATGTTGAAATTCCTCCTAACAAAGCAACAGTCCTTCGGGGCCATGAATCAGAGGTGTTCATCTGTGCCTGGAACCCTGTCAGTGACCTGCTAGCATCAGGGTAAGACCATGACTGAAACCAGCTGCTGCAATTAGAGTGTATTTAGAGATGCAGAAACTTGAAAGTGTATACAGGAGATGGATGAGTATTCTCTGAGCTGCTTTTTGAGCAGCCTGCAACAGGTTTTTTTCTGTACTCTACTTATATAGCAGTCAACTAATTATAAGGTGATACAGAATATGAAGAATTTATACATTTAAAATGTGCACTTTGTAGCCCTGAATACATATAAATTTTTAAAAATATTTTTTAAATAACAGAATATTTGAAGTTCATGTAATCTCCTCCTACTGCTTTAGAAGGGATTGTTTTTGTTGATGCTATTGATCTCATAGAATCATTTAAGTTGGAAACTACCTTTAGGATCATTTGATTCAATCTCCTTTAGCCCTGTCATCATAAACAATATACTTCTAAATAGTAAACTTGTACGTTCTGGTATTTATTTAAATTCTATGGAGAACAGTGTGCAGGTGATCAGTTAGCAAACCCACATTATTATCTAAAGGAAAATCAGTGGGGGAGAAGGATACCATCCAGAATTATTCTTCAGAGACACATTATAACTCCTGAGATGAGTGAAGATGCTGGTTCATTCTGGAGAACATATGCACTGCTGAAATTAGGCGTCTCCTCAAGTGCTCTGGAGTTCCTCTGGAGGCACCAACATCTCTCAGCTCATTACACAGGGAGTTAAGATTCCTAACTATAGGTGCTCAGACCTCATCTGTTGGCTTTAGGTTCGGTAACGTCTTGGTATGTGAATCACCTCTGCCAGTGCTTGCCATACTGGGCTGCTTCCCTAGGATCCAGTGGAACATTCAGTAAACCAGAGTATGTATTGCAGTGACTGAGGAACCAGTGGGTGTTTAACTTTGCCTCAGGGTGCTAAGCACTGCTAGATGGATCCCTGGGACAGTGGTATCTTACACAGGTTCAGGTAAACCTGGAGGATAATAATCAGAACCATTAGTCAGACACCTAAGATAGAGGAGTACCCTCTCACTACCCCTTCAATTAAGCTTTACCCTTCAGTCTAATAGGTCTTTCACAAGCTTTGCTACTGACTGTGGCAGCACCTAAGTCCACACATAGTTACGAAGTACAGTCAGGTGCTGTGTCTTATGGAGAATAATAGCAATGCAATGGCAATGCAAATAATTTAGATCCATGTGCATCTTGATCAGATTTTATTCTGCTTGTAAGAAAACAAGGTAGGGATGCAGTTAGCCCTCAGGTAATGCTGCAGCCAGTGCCTGATGAAGCTAATGTGACTGAAATGGCATAGAATGCACAGAAGAAAATGAAACTGAAGGAAGAGAGTTGAGTGAGTGATTATGCCACTGCACAAAGAAGCCTTTGAGATGTCTGGTATAATAACAGTGCAAACTATTATCTACAGGTAAACTCTGTGCTACAGCACCAATTAAATGAGGGGGAGAAGTTCTCCAAGATCTACAGTTGCTGCAGTGTGATTCAAAAAAAAGAAGACCACACTTAGTATGATGCATGAATGTCAAATTGTTAGATTTTATAATAGCCATATTGTGCTGCTCAGTCCATAGTTTTGTTCTGGTTTCCCATCAGCCTGATTCCCATCTGTTGTCTTAAGAAATATATTCCAAAACCTAACTATTAAATAGAGGAAATAATAACACATTTGTTTTGTTTATAAAGTGCCTAATCAAATCTCAATTCATGGCTATGTGCTTTCTTCAAGCCTTATTATAGAAGCAATAAATTTTTCTAACAGTTAGCAGCAGCAGTTCAGCCAGTAACCTGATGTAATCCTCAAAGAACTAAAAGAATCATGCAGCTTCAGAACCTTAATCTGAAGCAAGCTGTTTAAGAGGAATGTAGAATGAATTGCCCAAAACTACAGCATTGTTTTCCAGATTTAGTGAGTATCCCGATGATAGAAAGAGATTTTGATATTTAATGTCACATCTACTCAGTTGCTGATCTTTTAGGGTGTGAAGACTAGCACAGGAATATATACTCTGGGCTTTGCAAAAAGCTATTTCAGAATATAACATGGAGGCAGGAATTTCTCTGATCAAAGAGCCAGAAAAAATATATTCTGCAGCTGCTCTTCCTCCCCCACCATACCCATAACCCTTAAAGTGGAGTCTGGAGGAGACCAGAAATACCAGTAAAAGCTATGAAAGGCATGACTGTCACCAGATGCCTATGAGAGGAATGCTTAGATGTTATGAACGGAAGCATTACAATAATACAGTGAAGGACATGCATACAGCCATGTAAGATGATTAACTGCTCTTTATGAAGGAAATCAACATTCCAAAATAAATAATCACATAGAGTGTTTTGGATGGGTAAAAAAAATTAAAATAGGTGCTTGGCTAAATCTCAAGATTTGGCCATTACCATCCCTAAGTCCAAAGACTGATTTCTTGCACTAGTTCTCTTTCAATATCTAAGTTTTAATTTTATGACACATGTAAATTATTGCAGATGGTTATGTTCCCTGGGTAGTACAGAAACCCATTACAGTTACATCCACATTAGTAAACTAACCATGCCTGGGAATATTCCTCGGCACTGTGGCCAGCTGGCACGGAACGGCCAGTGTCTGTGCTAGCAAACTGCCCTGGCTGCCAAACAAACTGCACATTGGGAATCATCTCTGGACATCGTAACCACCAAGCCGTGCCCAGGAATTATTCAGAGAGAACATCAGGGCTCCACACAAGAGTGCTAATTAAAACAGGCCAAAATCTGGCCAGGGAATAACCTGTCAGTTTGCTTGCACAGGTCATCATGGTCCAGTGACACAGAGTGTTCTGAACATGCTTGAATTTCCTAGTGGGGAAGTGGATGGACTGTGAATGTCAAGGCTGCTAGAGTCTTGAACTCCAAAAGCTTTTCCAGTTGAATTTAGGATGTTTCTGTCATCATATTCCACTGCCACTTCCAAGCATGTTCTGTGACATCCACCCATGCCCTTCAAGTAATCCTCATAGCCCTGAAGCAGGAGGATCTGGCCTCATTCCCAAAACCCAACAGTAGTTTCTTTGCCTATCTTTGCTGATCTATGCCAGCCTCTCTCACACAGAGGAACTTTCTCTTGCAGATAGCTCCATGCACCTTTGCTCTCCCTAGTCAGCAAAATAATTATCCATAAAAGGTCTTGTCCAAGATCTTTCAATTATGCCTGTGTCTCTCAGAAGCAAGAAAAGATGCTTCCAGGCCATCTGCTGTCTTCATCTCTGGGTTTTTCATAATACTTCAGGTTACTGTACTCTTCATATCAGTGGTTTAGGATCCACTGTAAATTACCTTTCTGGATAATCCCTTTGAATTACCAGGTGGAGAGTGTGGGTTTCACATACCACCCCTGCCATGTCAGTGCCAGGTAGTAATTCTGCTAACTGTAAGTGCCTATTCATTAGCAGATTGGGATTACCAGGTGGAGAGTGTGGGTTTCACACACCACCCCTGCCATGTCAGTGCCAAGTAGTAATTCTGCTAACTGCAAGTGCCTATTCGTTAGCAGATTGGGGCTGTTACTGGGACTGGTTTCCTCAGTGCATCAAATCCATTAGTCCAAAGTGGTCAGCTATTAGATGAGGTCTAGTTGAACAACCCATTGCAGGATGCAATGTTGTAAAATCAGTAGGACAGAGATTTCCCTCACGATACCTCTGAGGCACTTCCCTCTACTGATTGCCTATGAAACATAAGCACTTACTTTAAGGAAAAATTAGGAGGAGGAGTTTCCTTCCCTTTATGCTTTCAATAATCTCTTTTAAAATAAAATAATAAAAGTTCTAACCTGTTTGAGCCAGAAGTATTAAATACATACTAGCAATATTGCACCTCAAAATAACAGTGCTGAAGATTTGAAATACCAAAGTTCATCAACCATCTTGCAAAATTCTTCACCCAGCAGCAGCTCTTTTACCCTCTGTGCTCCCAGTTATAGAATGGTGATTTCGTATGTCGCAAATAAAATTCTGCAAACATTTGTCCATCTTGACTCATGAGCATAGCAAGGCTGGAGAACATGAAAGAAAATTCTTTCAGAACTAGCCTTCTTAAAATCTGGCAGTACTCTACCAAGTGCAGATGACTATACCTATTACTTAAGTGTTCATGACTTGCATGTTGGAATTAGCTGCTTTATCATGTAGATAGAAATGCTACTGTGGGCTAAGGAGATTAAATATCTTTCTGAATTGTGCTTGAACTATGGTCCTCTAATAAGGCAGGGTTCACTGAATCATTCAGCAGAAATCAGAATACTTTCCAGAGCAGAGAATACTTTTTTTTTCCCCAGCAACAAAAGGGAAGACACACAAATACCCCTGCCACACACTGGTGGGCTTATAAAACCTCTCTGCAGGGACACATAATAGCTTATGTAGCCTTAGGAAGAAGAAAATGGAAAAACAAAATTAAAATGCTGGAAAATAAGATTGCCCAAGCCTTACCAGAAAACCGACTAAATAAAACTGTTGAAAAACAAAACATAACCCTTTTAGAACTAGCAAATAGGATATTGTATTTGATAGCCAAGTGACTGAGTACTTTATTCATGGGGTCCAATAACAAACTGGATTATTCCAATGAGGGGAGGACTGTCCTGGAGTCTTATCTAGCAGAGAAACCAACGCTGAAGGAATTTCCTACTTAGCATGTTAACCAATAACACAGACCTATGAAAGACTTATTTTCCCATTATTGTTAATTGTCACAATTAAAAATGTTCCTTAGCTTCTGAGCCATATGATTAACTTCGTTAATTTTCTAGCCAACATATGCAAAATTGTCCTTCCATTTTCCAGACCTCTGAAGAAATAAGGATTTATATTACAGTCACAGCTCTGTGTGGTGGCAAAAATTACCCAGATTTGAATTATTTCCTAATCACTAATGTGAAAGCTATGTGCCAAAAAATTAAAGAATGGCTGTACAGCAGTAGCTGGGTGAGACCCTGTGCCATCACATCTCAGCTTGGCACAGAAGGGTCAGAGGAAATGGGGGCAGATTCCCCAGCCATGCTCAGAGCCACTGATACAGGCAGAGAGGTTTTTGCTTTTACAGTTGAACTGCTATTTGTGCAAAATTTGGCGAAATTATTGGCAAAATAATACACAGAGATCAATGATGTTGGATATTGCTTTGTCAGTGTTTGCAATTGAAGACATGTGAAGTGTTGAAAGTTTGCCTGGTACTTTTAGTATTAATAATTAAAATGTTATAGTAGTAGAACAAGAGAAAAATTAAGATCTCTTGTGATGGATTTCCTTTTCAGTAAAACATGCCATTATCAATGCAAAAATGGATCTCGGGTTTTTAGTCTTCACAGAAAGACTTTTTCTCCTTGCTAGTCTACAGGAAAGAAAATTTTATTCACTACTTTAAAAAAAAGAAAAGCTAACACATCAGATATATCAACTATAAAATTCATCTAGACTTTATGAATTCTTGGAAGTACAAGAGAGATTCTAATTCTACTCCAGGTTTCTACTTACTGCATGTAAATGAAAATTGCCTTCTGGACAAAACAAGTGATCCAGGATACTTCGATTGTTTTGGTTGTTGCTGTCATTGATTGTTTTCAAAAAAAGGAGGAGTGAGAGAAAAATCCCAATAAACTAGAAAGCGCAGTATCTTCCACTCCATTGCAAATTGATTTCTGACCTCAGTGGTGTTTTGCATTGGAGGAAAGATTTATGCAAAGTCAAAACAAATGTATCATTTACGAGCAGATAATGAAAAACTCTTCACATCCTCTGTACAACCTTTCCTAAGCAAAATCAGGGTTTTAACCTGCAATAAAAACATGTCTCTAGAAAATATTTGGTGTATAAAATAGATCAAAATCCTGATGCTGTTTCTGTCTTGTTCTATTATGTCAATAGTTAATTTTGCCACTTTTTCAGACAACATGAGCTAAGCAGCCAAGCTGCAGACAGCAAGAGACCCTGTAAATATGAATTTAAAAAATGAAATTAGGATCAATTTTTTTTACAAAAATTAAATTGCCTTTCTACTTTCCTAATCCTAAGGTTTTGTAGCTTGATTTAATGCTGAGAGGCTGTTTTACAAAGCAGCTTCTGTCAGAGGCTGATCTGCCCTGAACAGAAGTGCCTGATGAATGGGCTGTGATCAAATTAAAGGCAGCCTTAAGTTCACCTCCTGCTCCTGCAGTAGCTGTTGGAGCAACCCAGGCAGGACCACTGCAGCACCTTTGGCACTCTACTGGAGCTGCCCCTACCCTGGGCTGCTCCCAGGGCAACACTCCACAGCTCTGCAGGTGCTGACCCTGTGGGCCCTGTCGTGCTGTGCTCAGATCCTGCAGCAGCTTTGGGAACACATGGGGCTCCTTGAGCCTTTAGGAGATCGTGTGCATACTGCTCATGGGAGGCATTTGTGGCTCTGCTGGAGTCTCCTCAGGGTTATGTTTGTAATAGTGAGTTCCCCCAGACTATTCCACTTAATGGTGATCCCAACTATAGGTGTGAAGTGCAAAATGTAGAGAGGAAGTGTATGGATTTTAGGTAAAATTTCCCCGAATCAAGCAAATTATTGTGTGCTTTCAGATGGTAGGTATCATTTAAATATGTCAGCTTTTTTTTTTTAAGTATACAGAGTGAGAAAGATGGTAGGTATCATTTAAATATGTCAGCGGTTTTTTTTAAAGTATACAGAGTGAGAAAAAGTTGAAAGGAAAAAAAAATTGCTTTTTAAAGGCTGTAATGTTTTCACAATGAAAACAGAGGATTTTGCACTGTTTGCTGTGTCAACAAGAAGAGTTTTCATCTCTGTACAATTGCTTTTATAGATCCGGAGACTCAACAGCCAGAATATGGAATCTCAATGAAAACAGCAACAGTGGTTCCACTCAATTAGTTTTGAGGCACTGCATAAGAGAAGGAGGACATGATGTCCCCAGCAATAAGGATGTGACTTCATTGGACTGGAATGTAAGCTAACTTCTAAGACTGTGCATGGTTTTTAACTGTCTAAATTTAATTCAGAGGCAATTTCAGCTGCTGCTCCATATCTTTTATATCTGAGGTGACCAGAAGCTCTGTCCTAACCTACTGACCTCTTGTTTCAAATACTCATAATAGGCTGAACTTTCCCCTACATGCTGTAATTTTCCAGGACTGTTGCCATCTTCAAGCTTAACAGTGATATATTTATATCTCTATTTAAGGAGCATGAGTAAAAATAAACTTAGCTACCTATCAGAACAAAGATTAAACAAGCAGTCTATATAACAATGAAGCCTAATTAATAATGTATTTGCATTTCGTAGTTATTTTGGTGTGTAAGGAGATTAAAGGCAGCAGTGAAGCTTTTTCTCTCGTTGGGCTCTAAAGACCTTCTCTCATTTGACTTATGCTGTTCATAGCAAAATATGTTCACGTTACTTTCTTTATTTTGGTAGGAGCATGTGTAGTCATTCTGCCCCTACCTATACACCTTTTGAGTTAAACTGTCTTGCTTGATCCCTTTTTTACTTTCATCCTGCAAAACCTTGTATGTTAGTTAGTATGTTCCTGCACAGAGAAGGCTGAAGTGAGCAGAGAGGACAGGTATTGTTAAGAATCTCCGGTGTTTGGGCAGTGTCTTTGGGCAGCTCTAAGGCTGCTTCATGTGTCCTTTCTGCCACTAGGCATTGTAAAAAGAACTTAAAAGACCCTGCAGGAACCTTAATTAATTTTGAGTTCATATGCATTCTGTCTGTTTTGCTGATGTTAGTACAGACAGAGTGATCACATTAGTCTTTTTTTTATAGCAAAACAGCTTAAAAATTAAGTACCAGAAAGGATTCTCACCAGTTTTGTAGTCTCAGTTGCTGGCCAGAGAGTAATCTTTACTGCAGTGTTACTGTCCTTCAGGTAAGCTAAGTGCTTCACAGAAGTAAAAGATGAGGCCACTGCACTAGTCAGCGTTCCCCTATATATTTTTTTTTTGCACAATGAAAAAAGTTGGTGAATAGTACAGAAAGTGGAGGTAAATTAGCAAAGCAAATAAAACTCAAGAATGTCCATTACTTGTTTCCTGTGGATATCACAGTGAAGAAAAATAGCTGGGAAAAATGAATTGAGGGTTTGAAAGAATAATTGAAAGAGGAAAACGTGCAATGGGTGTGGGACAGTTATCAGAAAAGTTTTCCAAATCACCTAGAGCATCCTCTAGTATTTCCTGTAGTAAGTAGTTCCTTACCATTGATCACTGGTACTTCACTTGCATAGTGCTATTACTTAAGATACGGAAATGTTCTTAACTCTAACACCTGAAGTGCTTCCAGCTTACTTTGAGTGTTCCAAATAATGTGAATTACCACCAACAAATTTGGATAAACTGTACATCTAGTCCCTGAGCTTTCTTTTCCTTTTCTTTTTGCCCTTCTCACCTTTGTTTTCAGCAGTGATCCAGCTAAGTGCATATCACAGTGAAGTTGGTTTAGGTTTTGATATTTTCCCCCATGCATCACTATAAATTTGAGTCAAATCTGCAACTGCTCTGACTCACTGTTTTTTGGAGGGTTGGAGTGGGCATATGTTTTAAAGGATTATTTTATACTTTTTCCTGATTTTCTATTCATGAAGCTACAAATGCCATCTGCCTTTATTGTTTATTTAGAACCACAATGTAAACCATATTTCTCTGTGAAATTTTCACACTGGTGATACTGAATCACTTCTTCTCTGGTTTATGTGATTTATGTTCTAGTAAGAAAGGTTATTTCTAGATATCATGTTCAGATCATGTCCTTTGGTACCAAGGGTACCAAATCCCATAGATTTAGCTGTCTAAACTAGTCATCAAGATTCACCTCAAGTCATCAGAAACAGAGACTTCGTGCTAGTCTGGGCATAATCTAAAGCAAATGGGATCATGAATTCCACTCCAGAGGTGTCGTTATATGATGCTGTTAGTTATAGAGGGAGACTAGGTTAGACTCCTTAACTAGCTCCTAACTTCTGGATGTCTGGAGATAAATGGGATGAATCTCACTGTTAATCCAGGTGCTGAAATGTTAGAAGACTAAATGCCCAGCTCCAACTGTACAGATCTCTCCAGACTGCAGTCAAGTTTCTTGGTGGTAGACAGCATTTGAAGTGTTAACCATGAGTGTAGGTGGCTTAGGTGTTTAGGTCCTTCATTCAAGTATAGATGCCTGAATTTCACTGAAGTGAGATTTAGTCTGTATTTACATTATCTGTTGATGTATTATAGGCTCTTTAAGTCTAAGAAAGAGTATCTGTTTGTTATTTGGAAGGAGCCTATAGAACTTGTTATGTTTTGTTTTCTCTTTCTAATCTTTTTGATTAAATTACTCTGATGGTGTAGCCCCAGTATTTCTCTGTATGTTAGGGGGTTTTATTTCCTCTGTGCTGTCTGCAGTAATAACCTTTAGTTTAAGTCATAGTATGATCTGTCTCAATGAGTGGACTCAGAATTCCCATAAAACACAATGTGCAAACCTTAAAAAAGAAGAAAAATGTTGGTTGAAATAGATTTCATCTTGTATCAACCTTTGCCATTTCTATATATCCCAACAGAGTGATGGAACACTATTGGCTACAGGCTCATATGATGGTTTTGCAAGAATATGGACAGAAGATGGTAAGTCAAACAACATCTGGTGTTCTTAAACATCAAACAGCAGTGAACTCTAACTTGACTAACTTGTAAACAAATTGTAATAATAACCTTTTCTTTATTTCAGGTAACCTTGCAAGCACCTTAGGTCAACATAAAGGTCCAATATTTGCCCTGAAATGGAACAAAAAGGGGAATTATATTTTAAGTGCTGGCGTTGATAAGGTGAGTTTTCAGAATACATTATTCTGACATATAAATGTGCTGATCAGTGAGCTTGTGCCTCTGAGTTCCTTAAGATTATCTTTTTCTTCTCCAGGCATCCTGGAGAGTTCACTTCTCTTTAATATGCCTTAGGGCATGTGGATTGCATTTTTGAGGCTGCATAAGTGTGTACTATTTTTATGGAAAATATTTTTCTTCGAAGAAAATACGTGTAAAATTGCATCCTAAGTGTGTCTCAGGTAGTTTTATCAACTAACTATTTCCAGGAAGGAAGTGATCTTAAAGATACTGCACCTTTTAGCTCATCTAATTATTGAAACACTTTTATTTGAATAAAATATATATGGCTTCCTCTACAAATATGATAAAAAGGTAGTTGTGAACTCAGAATCAAGAAAAAATAGCAGTTACAGCTGAGTGCACATTAGAGATTAAAATGAGCAGATGACTGATGATGGCAAGCAGAAATCCATTAAAACTGAAACTGGAAAGTACACAGCATTCATCTTGCCTACCTTTAAATGCCTAAAAATTCGATGCATATGTCATCCTTGGCTTCCTTTATAAAATTCAGAGAGAAAAATGGCACTTCCAAGTGATAGGCTACATGGCTTGTGTTCAGTGAGATGCACTGACAGTGCTTCTCTCCAACAGCTGACAGAGGGAGCCTGTGGGAACTAGCTGAGGTTTGTACATCTGATTTGTAGGCTAGATGAATCCCTGTATTTTCATATCCTTGTCATAATAGAAACTTAGTCTTATTCCCTTTCATACTGGCTTATATTCAGCTACACTAGTCTCCCAGTGCTAGTTCCATTATTCTGGCAAATTTACATTCCAAATAAAAGCAGTGATTCTTTAGATGATCCATTATCAGCAAGATGAGGCATCCTCAATTCATTTTCTCAAGTATATGCTCCAAATATATGTCAATTGACAGTTGGCTCAGAAGGTGGGATTGAGCTCTACAGGGCACGTGCTGATGTGTGCTGTGAGTATGGATTAAATCTGTAGTAAGCAAATTGCACTTTAGTCTGTCTCAGCTCAGTGGCAAGTAGTGATGTGTACTCTGCTGATAGATAAACACTTCATTTGTTGGTTTAATTGTTGGAAATGTAGTACAACATGGTTTCAGAGTACAATTCAACTTGCATCTGTGGAAAAAAAGCTTCTTTGAAGAAGAATGCAGAAACAGCTGTAACAAAAGGTTTATTAAAAATATGTAGTGCTGTCTTGTAGCATTACTCAGAGAGAATGTGCCCATTCTTCGTAGGTATATTCCTTCCTCTGTTGGCATGATACTTCTGTATCTACACTTCAGTTTTTTCAGCAGTTTATCACAAAGACTCTCTGTAGTCAGTAGTTTTATCTGTCCATCTTTTAGAATTGCCCCTCGGGGGTGTTGTTCTCTGGGTTTTTTTTCTCTGAGCTGAACAGTTGCTAATCTTTTTTTCCCCCCTTTCTTTGGATGCAGACAACAATAATTTGGGATGCTCACACAGGAGAAGCTAAACAGCAGTTTCCTTTCCATTCAGGTAATTTCTACATAACTCTTGTTCAGAAAATGAAATGCAGTTTTTAATTTTGTCAGTGTAATTTATCATTTTGTAAAAATGTATCTGCCAGAGAAAAGTTTAAATGAAGCTTTTTGTGCTTTAACTGTCCTGGCTTGTGGGTTTATCCTCTTTTCAGAAATGAGTTCTCTGAGAATCAGCTTTGAAAGTCAAACTGATTCTAGGGGATGACTTATACACCAGCTATGCCTACCTAACTGAATGATTCTGTCAGTATCTATGTGCTTGAGTAGTACCAAGTGGTGATTTATGAAGACAATTTTCAGTGGAGGTGTCTGGGATATTTTTTATTATTTCTGCTCCTGTTTCAGTGAAGCTGACTTGAGACAGAAGCAGGCAGATCTCATGCAGCTTGCATTCACCACTGCACTCTTGAAGGTCCTTGGGAATTTCTTAGCTTTTAATTTTGATTAGAAGTTCTTCAGTATTTGCTTTCCCTGACTGTAAGAAGTCAGTTGCCAACCTTGAGTTTCACAACCTTGTTGCATCAAAATTTTACTTGGATGGTCATTTGTATATCAAGAGGACAGGAGGTGTCACAGATACCAAGTAGTCCTGAGTAACAGGCAATCATTGGTGTAATCTGAATTTTACCTGAGGCTAGACTTGTAAGGTGATGGCTGAATTCCTGATCCAAGCTGGCTAAGTTGTCATAGTGAAGAATTTTTAACAGACACAGTCAAACTGAGTTTAAAACCACCAAAACATTCCAGATTCTGATGCCAGAAATTTTTCAGCTTTCTGTGTGTTCAGTGTAACTACTCCATGTTTAAATACAGCAAGCTCTCACAACGTGCTTGATGGTGTTTAAAAACATATTTTACTACTAATTTTAAAACATTAATTTGCACATGGCTTTTCAATTTGATTTTTAGTTGTTCCATTCTCACATTTTCACAGATGTTAATGATATGCAGTAGCACTCAAAGTGGTTATTGAACAGAAGACAGAAAGTGTGTCCATGCACACAGCAAATCATCCTCTGCGTTTTTGTCACTCATCTCAGTTATTAATGCAGCTGTCAGTTGAGAGGAGTTGGTGTCTGATGATAGATTTTTTTCACTGTGGCATTTATTTATCTGTCGTAGCTGTTCCATAACAGCAAACTTTGCACTGTAGAGTGATTTAGTTAATGAGACTTAAGTCTCTGATCCCTAACTATTAATCTAAATAGTTGCAGATTCAGATCTTGGTTGCCCCTTCAGAGTCATTTTTACTGATGTGCAAGCTGTCTTAGCAGTGATGTGCATCAAGGACATATCACTCCATTCCCCTTTTAGCAAGCTGAAAACTTAGCTACATCTTCCAATGCAATATGCCCATGTCCATCTGGATTAATAGAATTTTTTGAAGATTCTTATTACACATCCTGTCTTTGGACCATAAGACACAACTGAAGTGTAGATGTGGAGAAGGTAATATTTTTAATGTTTTTTTAATTATTTCAAATATGTTTTCTCAGAGAAGTAAAGCAGTTAGTTATTAAAGAAACTGTTGATAGTCCAAAAGCACATATCCTACAAAACCCTGTTAAAATCAGTCGGGCTCTGTCCTCACATGATGGAGTCTTTGTCCTCACAAGTCTAAAGCCACGAAGACCTCACCTTGTCCTCTTTGCCTCACTTACTCACCAAAACAAACAGCAAATTCTTTCCATATCTGGAATCTGAAAACCTTGTCTACACAAGGATTAAAGGTGGCATTTTAACAATTAAAAGTCTAGTCTAGACAGAGTACACTTCCTTTGACACATACTTCTTTGAAGTTCACAGATAGTTGGCCTGGGAATAACATAAGTTTTTGTACTCTCAGCTGCTTTACAACAACTGGTTTAGTTTACACCCACATGACAAAACTGATCTTAAAATACCTAAGGAAGGCTTCTTTGTGTAGGTCTTGAAGGCCTCCAGATCACTGGTGTTCCCATGTAACTTTTAAGGTTTTATGGTCAAAATATGTAAGTATGCAGATAAGTAGCTTCTAGGGTTTCATTATTCTTTGCAAAACTATGAGTCATCACAGGGCATTTGATCAAAATATGTATTCACAAAGCTTGCTGTTTTGTTGAAATGGAGTGAAATAATCCAATTTTGACATCTGATAGATGTGAGCTGATGTCTATGCATGCAGGAACAAATTGGTTAAGTGATACTAAAAGAGGTATTTGTATGACCAGGTTTTAGACATCTAGGGGTGTGGTGACAGGACAAGGGGTTAATGGTTTCAAATGGAAAGAGAGTAGGTTAGGAAAAAATTCTTTACTGTGAGGGTGTTGAGGCACTGGAACAGGTTGCCCAGGGAAGCTGTGGATACACCATCCTTGGCAGTGTTCAAAGCCAGTTTGGATGGAGCTCTGAGCAACCTGGTCTAGTCAAAGTTGTCCCTGTACATGCAGAAGGGTTGGAACTAGGTGATCTTTAAGGTCTCTTCCAACCCAGGCCATTCTGTGATCTAAGTGCTCTGAATCATTCCCTACAGTCACTTAACTCTGTCCTCATCTGACCTTCTAATTGTGAATCACACCTAAATTTGTTCAGAAGAAGCTTAAATTAGTGGATATTATTGTAACACTTCTATGACTGGTTTTTATTCTAGCTGCATTTCTTAAGAATTTCTGTTTTTATTAGATGACATTCTAATTGTTATTATGTAATTGGCTATTATCCTGTGGTTTTGGAAACACTTTGGCAATTTGATTAGTCGCATCAAGAAACACATTTGGTTGGGGTTTTTCAGTCCATTTTATGTAGTTATTTATCCAGTAAACATATGATTGAGTACACCAATAAATGAATCAGTATTAATTATCAGCACTCTAAGATTCAAGTTGTGCTGCAGTGTAAATCCATAGCTTTAGGTGCCAATAGCTCTTGGAAAAAGACATTTCAACTCATACATATCATACTAGCTATTAGCCCTGAAGGCATATTGCTGTTAATGCTGATAGATTTTTGTTTGCTCTGAAACAGTATTGCAAAGCTTGCTGCATAAAAATACAATAGGCAGTGAAAGAAACAAAATCCTTTACTGTTTCCTGATCCCCATTCATGTTCATTGAAAAACTCAGAAGTAGCCTGCCTCTCTCACACAAATTTCCTTTATATTTCTGCAACATAATAATTCCTTACCTGTCATACAGAATTATTGAGCTTTTTCATTACTACTGTAAAACAAACTTGTATATGAAACAATTTCAGCCCTCCATTCTCATTTAGAGAGCTACCTGATGGTTCAGAATGTGGATCAGTGTCATTTTGCAGTTCATAGGAATTATAACAGGAAAAGCTATTTCAATGTGACAGGCTTGGCAGAGCAGATACCTTTTCACCTCTGTATTACAAATATATTTTTCTGAATGTATTTGAATAAAGCATTTGATTTCACTTGAATGATAAATTTGCATTATATCTTTGCCAGAAAGAGATTCAACTTTGTTTCTTATGTGCTGGTCTCATTCTGGCCCACTTGCTTCACACAGGAGTGTGAAGATTTCTCTATTTTAGCAAGTCTTGTGTCATCCTCTGGAGGGCAGCTAAACTCTTTCCTGAGGGGGGAAAAAATAAGCAGCAGTCACAGAAACACAAGCAAGCTGTTTGTCAGGAATTCACTCCTGCCATGCTTTTGGTCTGCAGTGTCATCCTGTAAAAATTGTTTTGGGCTTTTTTCCCATACTTTTTGCAAAGTGTGTCTGTTGCAAACAGGCACTAATTACACGTTTATGTTCTATCTGTGTACAAAGTTTCATTAGTTCAGTACTAGTTGAGGTCAAACCCTCTACAGAAACTCTTCCTCTCATTTCAGATCAGCTTAATCAATGTACCTGTCTAAAATGACTCCCCAGCCAAATTAAACTGCCTGTCAGTATTCTTAGTCCACATGCCTGCCCAGAGTGATGGGTTTGTATCAGTGGTTGCCTGACACTAGTGCAAAGGGAGATAGCCACATGCTTCCTCACCCTCCCATGTGTGGTGTCTGGCATTCACAGGAACAGCTTTTCTAACCCAGATGAAATTATCCATGTTTTTTTCTGGATTAGTTTTCTTCCAGTTTCTTCCCTGAACTGGATTACAGAGGGATAAATGCTAGAGATAGCCCTAGAGACATGTGTAGCTGGGAGCAGAAAGAGTGGAGGTAGATTATTTTTTTTTGCCACCTCTTACATAACTTAATCCAAAATATTCTCATACATAGATGCCATGCAGTAGAAAAATTACTTTGTGCCCTTCAGACAGTCCCTGTCAACCCTACAACTGGTAGCAGGTGACAGGCCAAGAACAAGCCTGTAGTCTGTTAGATCCAGATAGGTGGCACAAGGAAAATTATTTGGGATAGCTATTTTCTTTGCTTTGTTCACTGATGTTCCTTCTGTTGTTTGTACTTCACAGCTCCTGCTCTGGATGTAGACTGGCAGAACAACACTACTTTTGCCTCCTGCAGCACTGACATGTGCATTCATGTATGCAGACTTGGCTGTGATCGCCCTGTTAAAACCTTTCAAGGACACACAGTAAGTTTAAGTCCAAAATGTTAGTGACCAAGTCACAGCAGCATGTTCAGTGATGGCAGATGATGTGTTTGCAGGGTGTGTTCTAGCACCAAAGGTGTTCCACCCCATTGCTTCCTGAAAACCATATTCCTTGGGAGTGATTCACTGCCTGTGAGAAGGAATAAAATGTTCTAAATCACTGTAGGAGGCAAAACCTGCAGCTTAAACAATGAGACTGTTTATATGTAGCATGAGCTGCAGACTAAAGGAACATTAATAAATAAGATTCTGTTTTCTGCTGGCTTAGTTTCCTTTAGTAAATGAGAGCTATGAATAAGGAGAAAACAATTTACCCTCAGCCATTGTTCAGTTTTAGAATCAATTTCATCTAATAAGATGTATTTAAGATATATTTCCCCCCTCTTTTCCTGGTGGTATTTAATGACCATCAAAGTTGCTTTTTCTAGCTTTTCTTTGTGAGAAAGACTGCTGTCATATACTGACCTGTAATTTAGCTGCTAACTTCCAGGAAAAATTGTGCATCCAGAGACCTTTATCCTAGTCTATGGTTAAACTGATATTTCATGACAGGTTGTGCATTCCTAGCAGCAGACTGGTGCTTTTTATGATCATATGAAATGCACCGTTTTGCACCTGATCCAAATTCTCACTTCAAATATATGTACACTTGGTTTTAATTATTACTGAAACGTGTAAAATAGATAAAGCAAAACTTAAATATTTTCACTGAGACCCTGAGCTAATTTATGTTTTTGAAAAACAATCTCTCCTTTTTTTATTAAATTATTTTTTCTCCTTATGTATAGCCCTGGAAAAGCATGGAAAACATGGAAATATTGATAGCAAAAGCATTGTACACTATTCAGTATTCCATCCTGGAATTCATTTACAAATACACCTCTCTTTAGAAAGACCAGCATTGTTGTAGAGCTGCAATACTAAGAATTAGGAACTCCACAAAACTTTGGACCCCACCAGTATCAGTATTTTCTGTTGAAAACTTGTGTCTCTGAGTCCACAAAATATTACTGAGAGGAGTGCCTCAATTTTAAAAAGAAGCCAGTGCTGTATCATCTGTCTGTCTGGTTTGAGGGTTTATTTAAATCCTAGCATATGAAAAAGGATATGAGGAACTTTGTGCCAGAGCATGCATCAGAAGACTCATTGTCTGTATTGTTCACAAGCACAAGATGACTCCACTCCAAAATGCCACTTAACTAGCACGTTGGGTAGGCAGCACTGCTTTTGTTCACCCCTAAAAGCACCCAGAGCTGTAATTTGTGGGTGAACTTGTTCCATGCATAAACCTTGAGTGCCCTCTGCTGAGTGCCCAGTACAACGCAGGTAACTGGAATAGTAACTTAACAAAATCACTCTTTATTTCAGAACGAGGTTAATGCAATCAAATGGGACCCATCTGGCATGCTACTAGCATCTTGCTCTGATGATATGACATTAAAGGTAATATAATTTCCATTCTTGCTGTTCAAAAAGTAAGGACAAAAAAATATGTCTATATTTTAATCTTCTCCAGAATGTATCACATAAAACTGCATAAACAACAGTTTCCATTTTGTCCCATGTTTCTTAAAGGCAGTCTGAAAGATTGAACACAGAGAAGCAGGCACAGAGAAAACTGGGACATCCTATCCAAATAAGTGTTACATGACAGATATGTCACTGTCACAGAATAGTCATAGTTGAAATATACACATATATATACACACCTGCTTGCCTGTCAGAAGCAGAAGCCCTATGCTAAGAAGCAGTCTATTGGTTACACTTTGAAAAAGAATATAAAAATACTTTTCTTGCCCTTTGGTGTCTTTTTCTTCTGAAAACAACTCCGTTAGAGCCATATGATTATTCTTTTTTTTTAATAGCCTTGAACTAAGCAATGGGACACAACATATGTATTCAGAGCCCACCAAAAATCTGAATGCTCTCTGAAGGTGCCCACCTTTACTCATTCCCTGTATGGGAAGCTAAGGCAGCTGTGCTGATGATGTACATGCCTTAGTTAGGTACCTGAAGTTGAAAACAACTCCGTTAGAGCCATATGATTATTCTTTTTTTTTAATAGCCTTGAACTAAGCAATGGGACACAACATATGTATTCAGAGCCCACCAAAAATCTGAATGCTCTCTGAAGGTGCCCACCTTTACTCATTCCCTGTATGGGAAGCTAAGGCAGCTGTGCTGATGATGTACATGCCTTAGTTAGGTACCTGAAGTTCAGTGAAAGGCAGCTGTGCTGATGATGTACATGCCACAGTTAGGTACCTGAAGTCGGGTGCAGTGAATCTGTATTCTGGCTCACAGGCAGCATAGGCTGCTTTGCCAGCACACCTGGGCCACTGCTGGTACCAGCACAGTACTGCTAATCCAGGGCAGTGTGGGCTTGCAGAAATACTCTTCACAATAGAGCTTTTCCAGCCCAAATCCCTCTTTCTTATTGTCCTTCCCCAGCTATGTCAAATAAAGGCTATGTCTGTGTAGGAATAGTTGTATGTTACAACAGCAAAGCCCTTCTGCTGGGGCTGTTGATTTAGGCTGGTTCCTTGAATTAAGCAAATGTCCCAGGAAAGATTTGGTTTTCTGGATAGAATTGTACCAGTAATAGTTTCCTCTTAGTATGGGTGTGTTAATTAAGACTCATACTTCTTTCCACTGCTGGTTGACACAGCTGAAGCATGGGACATTTCTAGCATGGAACTGAGACCAGCAGAACTTGCACATGAGAACTAAGTGAGCATCAGTGTTATGAATATTTCCTCTTCATAAGCAGACTGACTTCTGTTCTGTTCTGCTCTGTCTTTGCCATGTACCCACTGGGGTTTTCATCATTCTGGTTTCTAGAAGTATTACTGCAGAGTACTCACAGAACGGGAAATTTACAGAAAATAGGCCTGAAGAGGAGCACCTTGTCTGTCATGCTGCCACAAAGCAGTATTGCTGTAACCATTATCACTGTTTGAACATCCTGACCCAGTGGTAGCACATCTTTTCAGTACCCAGTTGCATGCTGTGTTTTGAAAACCACCGTGGCATGGTGTTATTGGTACCAGTCCAAATTCCTGACCACTGAGTATGGCACAAGAGCTAATGGTTTGCTATCCCTGACCTCACCTGTTTTTAAAAACCTTCCATGATGGAGACTGCAAATGCTCCAAATTCAGGCAAATGCTCTTCTTCCTTTTCCTTTGTAGATCAGTCCTCTCCAACTTCTTTTTCTTCTCTTTTCTTTGGAGTTCACAATATTTTCCTGTGGTTTCTTGGAACATGTTGCTGTTAGCCATAAACATGGCTAAGTTTCATATAGTGTTTCCAAAAGCAGTCTCAGGTACACTGATGGGAATTCATCGTAAGAGTGCATCATTCCTCTCATACTGCAGACTTAAAACAGCTGAGTTAAATCATTGCTACATTTTTGATATATCTCTGAAACTGACTGGCTAAATTTGAGTTATTTTTGCTGATGTGAATCAGCTTCATCTTATTTTCTCAGTTAGCTGAAGAAAGGATGTACTAAATTACCTGTCATCTCTATTGAACATATTCTTCATCTCACACTGAAGTATTTGGCCATGTAGCATGACATAAATAGCTGATTGCCTTCCATCTTCTGTGCTGTTAAAACATGAGGAAGACAAAGAGAGCTCAGGAGGAAAAGACAAATTTTACTGGCATAAGAGAAAATTGCTAGGTTCTAAGCAGTTACTGCAATTTTCTTCTCATTCTTTAAAATGATTGCAGTTGCAATGTGTGGCCACCTTCAAGTTTAACTTCTCTAAATATAGAACTTAAACTTCTGTATGAAAATACAGTTACAGACTATGGGCAGTACAGCTGCTATTTAGTTCTTATCTATTCAGTAAATAGTATTATTTATGTAACCCTCAGAGTTATTCTAATGTGTGTGCCAAATTGCTGCATTCATAAATGAAGTTGATATATATGCATGTAGGTCAAGATTTTAAATAAACAAATGGTAAGAATAACACAGAACTGATATAATTCAGCTGAGAAGAGATTAGTAATGTTGCTATTTTTCCCCTTCATGATTACTCTGACTTAGATTTGGAGTATGAAGCAAGATACCTGTGTACACGATCTTCAGGCTCACAGCAAAGAGATTTATACTATCAAATGGAGCCCTACAGGACCAGGCACCAGCAACCCAAACTCCAACATCATGTTAGCAAGGTAAAAAAGCATATTCCTTTCTCTTGGAATCTGTCCTTCCAAGAAGGATAGTTTTTCTGACATGTAACCCTACTGTGACTTTGCTATCAGTCTTCCTGCAGACAACTCCACTGAAAAGAATCTGTGTTTGTAACTTGGGGTGGATACAAAGGGAGAGGATTTGTGTTTGAAAAAGGAAAGGAAAAAAGAAGGAAGATGGAGTCGTGATATTTAACTTTTTGACTGCCTTGCTAAAAGGGTTGTAAATTTGACATTGCACCTTCACATGCAGCATCAGGTTCTTATGACTGAGACAGGTGGCACCCATTCCACCAGCTGGAATGGTTTATAGCCAGAGTCATGCAGATCACCTGGGCAGATAAGGCAATTTTTATAGCCTTCTTAGCTAACAGAGAAGAGCTTGGATAATCTTTTAAATTTCACTTGAAAATCTGTTCAAGATTCTTCTTTGAGTTAAGGAAATATGTTTACTTGTAGAATGTTAGTTGATGGTGGTACCATGGGACTGTCAAATTTGTTCCTGGTGTATGCAGTTTGGGGAGGAGTTGCATGAAAACTGATTTATTTATTTTACTCCTAAGACTGAGAGTGTACAGAGAAGAACTTCACTTCCTTGGAGTTGTTATTTTAATGTTATTTTTAATACCAGTTATTTCCTTTGCCTTTTTCTAAGACCATGTTTTGGGATGTAGATGGAGTTTACTAAAAGCCAGCACTGAAATAAAGTGAAAAGAACCACAGCTCTAGAGAATTACAGAATGCTAATTCATTACATTATGGGAATCCATTAAGAGTAAGATCTCTCTGGAACCATTTATGATGCTAATGGCAATATATATTTGACCTTTCTCAATAATAGCAGGTAGAATTTCAAAAGGAAGGAGCTTGGCCCTCTTAGGGCTGTATACAGCACACCTAGATAAGCCCAGAGGTATATTTAGTTCTACAGTTATAGTTCTTGTCATCAAAAAACCATAAAGACTGTGGTACACTTTGAAACACTATGTCTTGCTTAGCCAAGGGAAAAAAACCTGTGGTATTCTCTTGTAATGTTTACAGTCTTAGACTTCAAATTGATTAACACCCAAATTATTACATTTCTGTGTTTGAATGCTTCTTGCAGTGCTTCGTTCGATTCCACTGTTCGGCTGTGGGACGTTGATCGAGGAGTTTGCATCCACACATTAACAAAGCATCAAGAGCCTGTCTACAGTGTAGCTTTTAGTCCTGATGGAAAATATCTAGCCAGTGGGTCCTTTGACAAATGTGTCCATATATGGAATACTCAGGTACTGTTTTGTGAAGCACATCTGGTTTAGACAACACATTAATAGCAAAAGCTTAAATGGAAAATGTATGTAACTCTGTTGTGTATGACCTGCCAGCCAAGGTGAACCTGATTATATTGGCTGATACACATCATAACAGTTGAGTCACTCAGGTGCTGTGAGGTGACTGTCCAGTACATTTCTGCTCAGTCTTTGTCTGCTAAAATGCCTAGCATGCATGAGAATAAGTATGTCATGTTGGGTCATCAGCTTCGTGAAGCAAAGTTGTGGATTGATTCTTAGCTATTTCTAAGGAGACCAGTAGAAATTTGTTGTGGTTTAACCTCAGCCAGCAACCAAACACCATGCAGCTGCTCACTCCCTCCCCCACCAGTGGGATGGGGGAGAGAATCAGAAGGGTAAAAGCTAGGAAAACTCGTGGGTTGAAATAAAGACAGTTTAATAGGGAAAACAAAAGCCACACACAAGCAAAGCAAAACAAGTCATTCACTGCTTCCCACAGACAGGAGGTGTTCAGCACCTCCAGGAGAGCAGGGCCCATCACATGTAACAGTTCCTTGGGACCACAAACACCATCACTCCAAACATCCCCCACTTCCTCCTTCTTCCCCCCACTTCATATACTGAGCATGATATCATATGGTATGGAATATCCCTTTGGTCAGTTTGGGTCCTGGCTGTGTCCTCTTCCAATCTCCCATGCACTCCCAACTTCCTTGCCAGTGTGGCAGTACAAAAAGCAGAAGAGACCTTAGCTCTGTGTAAGCTCAGCAATAACATAAACATGTCTATATTACCATCCACAGCACAAATCCAAGACATAGCCCCATACTAGCCACTGTGAAGAAAGTTAACTACCCCAGCCAAAACCAGCACAAAATTTTAAGAATTTCTGCTTTTATCTAGTTACAAGCTGAGTTCAACTGTGAGTCTGATTCTCCTGGCATGTACTTTGTGAAGAGGGGATCATAGATACAAAGGCTGGGGACGGGTGAAAAGTGGAACATCATAGTTCCACAGATTTAATTCTGGAAACTGATGCCTCACAACCTCAATTAGCAACAAACTTTAGAGAAGACCACATCAGCCTAAGTGCCCAGGCCTTTACTGTTAGAGAGTTGACAAAAACAGATATTTAAGAGTCCTACTGTAAATTGCTTTCTGGAGGAACCTGTTGCTCTTCATTATCAAAGACCAGTTTCCTAACTTCAGCACCTTCTGGATATGGCCATAGCTGGGCGATGTGTAAATCTTCCCCTTGCTACCATTCTCTTCTTTTGAACGTAGTGCCACGGGACAGAGAAAAAATAAGGAAACTTCTGTATCAAATGTCTGCGTGCTGTTTTGCTTTGTAGAGTGGAACTCTAGTACATAGCTACAGAGGCACTGGGGGCATCTTTGAAGTCTGCTGGAATGCTAGAGGAGACAAAGTGGGAGCAAGCGCATCAGATGGATCGGTAAGGATCTTTAAACATTGTCAAGGTTGGGTGGGCATTTCTTTTCTGGGGACAGTCAACAAAAAACATGCACACTATATTAGATCCTCCTGTGGACAGAGCTGAAGGTGTAGGCAGCTCAAGACTTAAATAAGTAGCTCTGTGTAGTACATTAAAAAAGCTCTTGCTTTGAAAGGTTTTTGAATACTCGGAGGTGGTGTGGAACAGGTGAATACTGCTGAAGACAGGACTGACTTTTAAACACATACTTGGCAAGAACAACAGCAGTATTGTTTCTGTCATCATCTCATCTGTCAATTTTTATTGGAGATCAGATTGCAGCAGTTAACTCTCTAACAAACAGTGGGGCTTTCTGAGTTTGATCCCACAGAAGTTCATCCTTGAATAGGAGTAGCTAAGGAAGGAATTTTTCAGCATGATGCCCAAAGATTTCACCATGTGGTAAAGGAGAAATATTACCCTGGAGATACTGATTATTCATTACTATTTTTGCTGTTAAAGTTACTTTAAAAAAAATCTGTTGTAGTATGGTACTCCCAGTTGACTCTGATGCTGTGAGGGATCTGCTGCTCCAGCTGGATCCATACAAATCTAAGGAGCCTGATGGGATTTGTCCTATAATGCTTAAGGAGTTGGCTGAGGTCATTGCAAGGCCTCTCTCGATGATTTTTCAAAGGTCTTGGGAATCTGGAGAGGTCCCACTTGACTGGAAGTTGGCTAATGCTGCCCTGATTTTCAAAAAGGGCAGGAAGGATGACCCTGGTAACTACAGGCCTATTAGCTTCACTTCTCTACCTGGTAAGATCATGGAAAAAATTATCCTGGAAGGTATTGAAAAACACCTGAAGGATAATGCAATCATTGGACATAGCCAGCATGGCTTCATGAGGGGGAAGTCCTGCGTGTCAAACCTTATTTCCTTTTATGACAAGGTAACCCACCTAGCTGATCAGGGGAAACCAGTTGATGTAATCTGTTTAGATCTCAGTAAAGCTTTCAATACCATTTCTCGACAAAATGTCCAGCATAAAACTGGACAAACACACTATGTGATGGGTGAGCAACTGGCTTCAGGTGCAAAGGGTTATGGTAAATGGGATTACATCAGGCTCGGGACCAGTCTCTAGTGGGTTCCACAGGGCTCCATCTTATACCCACTGCTCATTGATATCTTCATAAATGACTTGGATGCAGGACTTGAATGTCTGTTCGGTAAATTTGCAGATGATAAATTGAGCAGAGCTGTTGACTCCCTTGAAGGCAGAGAGGCCTTGCAGAGACACCTAGACAGATTAAAGGGCTGAACAATCACCAACTCTATGACATTTAACAAGGGCAAGTGCCAGATTCTGCACCTGGGATGGGACAACCCTGGCTGTACATACGGAGTGAGGAATGAGATGCTGGAAAGTTGAATATGAGTCAACAGTGTGCCCTCACACTCAGGAGGGTCAGCTGTTGTCCTGAGGTGCATCAGGCAAGGCATTGCCAGCTGGTTGAGGGAGGTGATTGTCCTGCTCTACTCTGTGCTGGTGCAGCCTCACCTTGAATATTGTGTGCTCCACAGTATAAGAAAGATGTTAAGTTATTAGAGTGTCCAAATGAAGGCAGCAAAGATGGTGAAGGGCCTTGAGGAGAAGCCATATGAGGAGTGGCTGAGGTCACTTGGTCTGTTTGGTCTGGAGAAGAGGAAACTGGGGGGAAACCTCATTGCTGTATATAACTTCCTCATGAAAGGAAGTGAAGGGGCAGGCACTGACCTCTTCTCTCTGGCAACCAGTGACAGGACCCAAGGGAATGGTCTGAAGTTGTGTCAGGGGAGATTTAGGCTGGATATTAAAAAATTATTCTTCACCCAGAGGGTGGTTGGGTACCAGAACAGGCTTCCCAGAGGAGCTGTCACAGCACTAAGACTGACAGAGCTCAAGAGGCATTTGGACAATGCTCTCAGTCACGTGGTGTGATTGTCAGGGATGTCCTGTGCTGGGCCAAGAGTTGGACTTGGATGATCCTCAAGAGTCCCTTACAACTCTGATTATTCTGTGATTCTGTGATGGTCAGCTTGGGAAGGACACACACAGATGGCTGGCATAACTACTTTAGAGCAGTACTTCTCAACTGGTTTTAACAGAAAGCACCCTGTGACAGTGATTCAGTTACTGGAGCTTACTTGTGCCATCTCAGACAGTGCCATACCTGCCTTCCAACAGCTGCTCCAGATGAGCACTTGTCCACTCTAGCTCCTGTGTCATGCCTGCCAAGCATGCATCTGTTTTGGATATATTTCAGAAGTGGAAATGAACATTATGTTTAGACAACTGAATAGATCCCATAGTATTATCTGGGATGTGCCACTGAAATGTTTGTCTGTAATCCAGTGAAAGCCCAGCTAAATATTGAATGTGTGGGTTTCACTTGGGTCTTCTCTCGTGTTGGTTTGTTCCTTTACTTACCTGCGTGTGAACAGGTACTTGAGACAGGCTGATTTGAAGCCACGGGGTGTAACATCCAGCTGGCTGATCAGCCTGTGTATGGGGCCCTATATGAACAGGATTTCCACATCACCTTCAAGAATGGTTCTTAACTGGGTCTTTTCTCTGTAGGTTTGTGTTCTAGATCTGCGGAAGTAAAGTGAAATGTTTTAGAAGAAATTTCAAATGGACCAGCAGTGAATGTGTGGGGAGAAGCACTCTTCAAAACTATTCTGAACAGCTCCAGAACTGTATGAACTTGAACAAAGTTAGAGTGTACCGTGAAACCAACTCTCCCTGGCCACAGGTGACTAGTATTTTGTCCGTAACCTTCATCAAGGAGTAAAACCACAGTCACTTCAGAGGGGGAGGGAATGGTTTCCACCTGGAACATTCAGCCTTGGAAGCATGAAGCCACCAGCTAGGCATTGCACTGTTTGGTTTGCGTCTGAGAACTTGCTCTGATGGCTGGGAATAAAAAGCTGTGCCAAAAAAAATTAATTAAAAAAAAAAAAAAAGAAAAAAAAAAGAAAAATGCTGTGATAAACCAAAAGGGAAAAAAAATCCTCCTCCATGCGGTGTTGTATTTTTTCCTTCCAATTTGGACACTACAGTTGCTCTCCCAAAGGACGTTCAAAGACCAGTTTGTACTGATGAAATGCTCAACTTTGTAATCACAACACTTTCTATTTTCTAGACTACTTTTTTTGTTCAGTGGTTTTTCTATCAGCTGGAATATTACAGCCTGGAGATCCCAGGCTTAGGATGAAACTTTTGTTTTCCTTTTATTTCTCCCTTCCACTCCCAACTTCTCCTTCGGTTTTTTTTTCTCCTCTTTCTTTTTGCCCTTTTTTATTCTTTTTTTCCCTGTATGCCCATAGTAGATGCAGCCAGGTGGACATGACAATGAAAATTTTTGACAGACTGCTTCTCCTCTCTTCTCTCTCTTCCTTTTCCTTTCTTTCTCTCCGTTTAAAAGAAAAAAGAATCCTCCATGCTTCAGATCTTAGCGTCTCAAGGGCACTTTCAGCAAATTGTGTAATAAGTGCTTTATATAAGAATGCAGTGCTGGGGAAGATTTTTACAGGAGAAAGATGACTTTTAACAGAAAGAACCCAGTGTATTTTTGGAAAAAAAATATTTTTTATGTTAAACAGTTTTAAAAGCCTAAAATGGCCACCAAATGTAGACCAGTTGTGTAATTCAAGCAAAAAGAATGATACAGAGTCCAGGGAACATGAAAGGTGCAGTATCCTTTTTCTTTTCTCTCTCAAAAAGTGCTGTAAGAAAAAATGCCATTTGATACGGTTAAATGCCAGTCCTTTACTAAGAGTCCTCTTCCAGCAGCCAGACATTTATATAGTCTCATTTCATTTTTGTGTCTGTTTGATGATGTACACTTATTAAAAGAGATTCATAAGTTTGAGGCTATAAATATAGCATTCATTTTCTCAAGTCCCTATTTTTATTTGTTTTCAGTAACCAGGAGAAAATGCTTGTGTATCTTCTTTCCTCTAGAGATAGTTAAAATTTTGACACAACATGGCTTTGGCTGCCTGTGGCTGTGCTGAGCAGCCCTGTCTTCCTCTATTCATCCCACTCAGCTGTTTCTATTCCAGGAAGTCAGTGGGGTTTTGCCACTGACTTAATGAGACCTGTTGAACTGAAATATACTGACTGCATCTGTCACTGTTGAGGAATGGACTCTTGCCAAGCTCCTGGCCATCCATGGACCACACACACCAAGAAGCAGGATTTTCCATTGCACCTGGTGGCATGTGGTGCTGCTGTCACCCTGAGCCACATGCAACTTGGGAAGTTCTGGGTCTGTGCTTGGAGGCTCACTGTCTGACCAAACAGGTTTGGCCTTGAGGGTGTCCTCAGTGCGGTGCTAGAAGACAACCTCAACTTCTCCATTAGGTGAGGACATCATAAAGGATATATAAATTATATCTCGGCATATTTACCACTATAAAGTTATGGTGGGTGAAATGATCAGAATGACAACAGACACTTCCAAAGCATCACCTATCCACTTCGGGCAAGATTTCCTTACTACAACACTGACACCTGCACAGGTGCCAACTGAAGACTACATTACTTTAAGAGCAAACGATGGATGCAAAGCAGGACACAGAGGCAGAGTTTACTGAAAGTGCTGTAAACTGTAAGGCAGCCTTGGGGTGGTGGCAGCTGTTACTTAGATCCTCAGACCTGGCCGAGTCAAACAGGCTTCCTCCCTAGCCCACAGACCAGGTTAGGATCTGTAGAAGAGAGAACAAGCAGTGAACCTCTTAAGATATGTAGTACCTTCTGCTGCAGCACAGCATCTTTGCTTTGATTTGACCACAGCTGCTGAAGTGGTGGTTTACTCTGAGCAAATCCAGAGGCCTGGGGCTGAACGGGTCGTATAAGACCTGCTGAGCACCATGGCATCATCATGGAATCTGTATGCCACTTCTTTCTCCTGAGTTTTCTGCTCTTTATGCTTGCATCTTAGTCCTTCCAGTGGAACTAACCACTGGCAGCTTCAGCTGCACTTCTAAAGGTACACCTTTGGAAAAGAGTAAAGAGCAGAAAGGAATAACTGCTAAAAGTGTTACTCAGTCCTGAGGTGAAAACAGTTACGTGTCTATTTGGTTATAAATGTCAGTTAGGCTTGTTTGTAACTTATCTCAAATATTTGGATGTTAGCAGATATCAAGGGTCAGTTCTGGTGTTAAATGGATTTAAGTGTTGGTTTCAGTTTTCTGCTCCAAGAGCATGGGCTGTAGGTCATCACGTAGCAGTTTTGCACTGTTTTATAATAACCACGTGTGCCTACTAATTTGAAATCACAACTTCTAAAAAAAAAAAAAAGAAGACTACTTGCTCAAAGAGAGACTTGAATTTGAATACAAAGGCTTAATGAGGTTTTATAAAGCACGGTTGGGTCAATGATTTGATTACAGTCATTGCATGTACACAGTTAACTTCCTAAGCTGCTTTTGGGTGGCAATTCTGAGAATAACAGGCAGAAGTTGGCAGTCTGTGGGCAGCAGAGCAGTGGAGGGCAGCGCTGATGGGGCTCTGGCCTTGCTTCTGTCCCTTGAGTGACACATGAATAGGCCAGACCTCGGGAATCGAAGAGATGAGGTTGCTCAATCCGAGTTCAGCAACACTACATGACTGGCTGGTTGTGTAGACTGTGGCTCATAGTTGCTCCCAGAATAGCTACTGTGGATAACTGGGTAGTGTCCATGATGCCTGTTTCTTTTTCCATTTTTTAATTTGTCAGAACACCACTTTTCTTCTGCCCACCTACATAGAGGCAAGAAGCCAAAAGAGACAAAACTTGAAAATCTGTTGGTTTGCAAAGCCCATGTGTGAGAGGAGGCTGCTGCTCCAGGGAGTTTTATATATGGACCATCAGATTTAAAAGCAACATATGTAAGGAGCTAAGAAAATTCACCTTTCTTCCCTTCTCCAAGATCTTAAAGACTGGAAAATCCTAAAAGATGCTGCACTACATAGTTTTCAGCTAAAATGAAAGCAGCTATTAAAGAAGACAGGTACCATTGGAAAGGTTAATCCTAGCCTAAGAAGATGGTTTCTTTAGGACATGGGCAGTGGAGAGAGGCTTTGCCAGGCTGTGGTTCAAGGTGAACATCTCAGCATAGACCTACAGACCTGCCCTCATGGGAGCTCTTACTTTCCTTAACCACAGCCATGTGGCATTTGCCCAGCTGGTGGAACCTTTCTGCAACTCCCCTGCAGCAGAACAGATTGAAACAGCAGGCTGGAGGACTTCCTTTTTTCATAAAAATGTTCTTGATAATTTTGTTTATAGTTTTTTTTGTAACAGAGGAGAAACAGATAAACCTAAGTGACCAAACGGGATTGTGAAACTCTCCGGAGACTTGCTGGATTTTTACCAATCCTGGCTGTCTGGAACTGGCTTTGAAGTGAAAAAAACCCAGTTTCTGAAAAACCACTCTACTCTGTGGGTTAGAAGGATACTGAATCTTTTATGTAGAAAACACTGGGTCCCTTATGGGGCAATAAAGGGCCTGACTTACAGGGTTATACACACATTAACCCCATGCTACATCTTAGAAATTTCCTTTTAATTTGTTTTAAAAAAAAAAAAAGAAAAAAATAGCTAATTTTAGAGCCAAGTGAAGTGCACTTTGTCAAATGTAAGGGTCTGCTTTGTTTTTGGGTTTCTTTTTCTTTTTCCCTTTTTATTTTTTCCTCCGTTTTTTCCTCTTACTGCCTTTTTAAAAGATGTGGTTCTTTGTCAATTGCAGAAATGTTCTTTCAGCCACTCACTGAAATCCTGAATTCTGGCTTCTGCAGTTTTTATTGTCTGTGTCAGACTTGCAGCCAGACTTGGTTCTCATTTCAGCATTTCCCAGGTTCTGTTGAAACAACATCAACCCTTGTTTTGTTTCTCCCCCACCCACACTTTCTTCAAATTCACCTTGTGTATTGTAGCTCATTTGTTTTAAGGAGAGAATCAACAGATCATATTCAGTGTCTTGAATAAATTGCTATATTTTGATATTAGAGAATTCTGTGCGTGTTGTTCCTTATTCTTTTCTGGCTGTTTTGCATCCTGTGCTGAAGAGCTGGGGTTGGGTGACGTAAGTTGTGATGTGGTGTCACAACTGTGGCTGTGGCTGTATAAAGATCATGGCAATGGGTTCGTAGGGTTTTGTAATACACAGGACATGGAAGCTTTATCCTTTACTTTATTACAGATTGCCATTAGCAAGTACACAGTATTGACAAAAGCAAATATGTATGTGTATATAAAGCTATTGCAAAGTATTGTCAGCAAGCATTGATATAGCAACAGTGATACAGCAGCAATTAATTTATAGCAACAATCAATTATAGCAGCACCCAATAGTAGCTGCAATGAAGTGTATATATGTGTGTGTGTATATATATTTATAATACATAAAATATTACAGGTTACAGCTAAGTTATTACTAGTGAAGCAAACTCACCAATAATGCTACAGCAGATACACTTACAAGAGGTTACTTACATGTGTGATGTGGCACCAAGCTCATTAGATCTCAGAAAGAGCCCAGCCATCCCAGACCAGCCCCAGACATGGGCTCAGTGGGGGAACAGTAAAACAAGAGGCAAAGTCTCCCTTCAAAGGTGATCCATGTCCCAAAGTTTGGAGTCAGCAAGGTGTCCCCAAAGAGGGTCCAAGGTCTTGCAGAACAAACTCATGCAGACCTGTTTAGGAAAGGGACAAGTGTATGCAGTGTGGGAAGAGAGGGAGAGGCTAATTTGGACAGAAAGTCATTTCTATATCATAGACATAAGAGGGTGTAGGATACCACCACTTCAAGCAGCCAGTGGATGCTGTTCATTTCTGGTTTCACCTGGAACAGCCAACAGATTATGATTTCCATTCTATTCTGGGACTTTTCCTGTTCTTGCAGTTAGGACAGCCAATGGCAGTTACCAATACATGCTTTCTCAGGATGTTTTCCCCCTTTTTTTCCCAGACTGCTTTTCAGCTTTTC